TTGAAGGTTTCTGAACGTTTTGGCATACCTCAGAAAAAATGGATGTGTGTGTGTGTGTGTGTGTGTGTGTGTGTGTGTGTGTGTGTATGTATGTATGGATACAAATTTCCAGTCACGTTTCAGGGCGCACGATTCAACCGATTTGAATGGTTCAAAAAACATTCGATTCCTTTTGATAGGAAAAAGAGCTGATTAGTTTTTGGCAAAGGCAGGTCAAGCCGTTTCGGAGATACGGAGCAAAGAGTGCAGAAAATAGAAATCGAATTTTTGGGAGAACGGAGTATCCGATTTGAATGATCTAAAAAACATTCAATTAGTAATGATTGGGAGAAGTGTTTATTAGTTTTTGGCAAAGGCAGGCCCAGCCATTTTGAAGATACGGAGCTAAATATGTAAAAAATGGCAGTTTTTGAGAGAACTAAGCGTCCGATTTAAATGATTCAAAGAACTTTCTGCTTGTCTTAACAAAATAATTGATTTTGGAAAAAAAAATTTTGTTCCATTTTTTTTTTTTTTAGTTTTTTGTATATCGAAAATATTTCAGATTTTATTTTTAATTCTGACTATAGTTCTAATATACTTTACAAATAATTTCAACTCTGCAATTCAGTTTATATAATTCTTATAAATATTACACAATGTTACAATATTTATAATAATCTATTTGAAAACATTCAGTATTCCTCGAACATTTCGTTACGGTACGGGAAGTTCCAGCAATTTGCCTTAAGGCACGATGCCATAATTGCCTCAAGACAGAATTCCACTTACAGCTAGTTATTATATTATATACTATATTATTATTTTATATAATACATTATATATTTTAAATGCCTTTTGAGCAATCAACCAAATATATAAATTTCCAATAAGGACTTTCTTCATTAGTTTTATGGGCATTTCCTTGATCAGTTTTAAATTTAATAGTAATTGGTAAATAGTGTTGTGTTAGATTATATTGAACATATTATATGTTTTATTAGTAAATAAAATGTATTTAGTTCAAACTAACTATAGGTTGTTTTCGAACACCCTAAAATATTGTTGAATGTAATATTGTTCTAAATATTTCAAAAACAACCTACAGAATATATAAATTTCCAATAAAAGTTTTTTCTGGGTTTCTTGGGTATTTCCTTTATTAATTTTAAATAAATTGGTATAAAATGTTGTTACATTGTATAGAAACAATTCATTACTGAGAAAATGTTAAGGATATGTTTTATAAATACATTTTTAATATTCATACAAAAGATAAATTGTGTAAAGGGGTCCTTAAAAGGGTATATTTATTTTTCAAAAGTGGATGATGTATATTAAAAGACTTGATCGAGATTTGAAACACTATTAGTATGCTTTTTATTAAAACGATTATTTCAGTTATAATGAAATTCTTAATTCTGATAACACTGAAGTCTTTGTGGCTCATATAGTCGATGCTTTGGCCTTGCAACCCCAAGGTTCCAGGTTCAATTTTCAATTCGGATAACCTGATATCAGTCTTCACTTAAATATACAGATTGAACTATGATTTTAAGTAAAAATTGCCTTACAGGGCAATCATATCACATCGCTAATATAAATATCAAATACTATTATCAAATTCATATCACATCGCTAATATAAATATCAAATACTATTATCGTAAAGATAATGGACCACTGGGCATCCACTGGGTTACCTTCTAAAAATATTAGGTTATAATAATTAGATTACAACAGATCATAGAACATATGAAAATAGTTCTAATTGTTATTGATAGAATAAATAAGAAGAGCACTTACATAGCAATGCATAATCTACTTTGGAGCTTGAAATTACGATTAAAGATCAAGTAAATCAAATTGAAAACATATTCTTGAAAAATATGTTACTTAATAAATTTTATTAGAATTTAAAAAATGCTATTACATGATAAAGATCAGTACAAAATATATTCTAAGTATTTTTTTACAAAAATTCAATAGACGCAGTTACTTTAAAATAAATCAGCATTGCATTTGATGACTTGTAATAACATAGAAAAAATCGGCAGGGTACTTTTGCTCAAGTCGATTGTTTGACTTTTCGAAAGTCCCAAATTTCTCTTAAAACATATTGCTTAATTTCAATAGAACCTCTTTAAGTAATTAATTATATCAGAAGGCTTGAAAAGTCACGCCCTTTATCAAAATATTTCCGAGACAATCGCGTCCGCTCGAATGCTCCTGGTTCGTGCGCTTAGTTTTCTTGTCCAATCTATAGAAGTCGACTCGTGTATCTATTCTTGTTCATCCATGTGTTCAAACGGCATAATAAGCTTTCAATCTAGTGTTGGATCGGCCAATTCATCGGCAACGTGCTGCAAAAAGGAATATCCTTCGTCCTGGGTCATTCTTCATTCCCTTTCTGATCGTCTTTAGGGTTATAAATCAATAACAAAAAATCGCAGACTTTCATTCAACGGTGTCCGCTTTTTGTAAGGTTTGAGTAAGGAACTAGATATAGATGAGGAACTTGAGGAAGAAATAGTCGTATCAATTATAAAAAAAACGTTTTGATAAAATTGCATATCAATTTTTTCTCAGTATATTATGGCGTTGAATTAGTGGTAAGAGATATGGGATTTTAATCAGAGGTTTCAGGTTTGATACACGCCTCAGTCAGCAAGATCTCAAGCAGTAGTGACATCGGTTTTCATTTGAAATCATATCTAGCAATATGTTTCCAAGTGAAAATAATCCTTACTTAAAAATGGTTTCTATATTAACTGTATACCAATTTTTGCTTGTTATATGATGGCGCTGATATTATATTACTTCTTTTAAAGGAAAAATGCAACTGTGTATTTTTCACTATTTATATGTCGATGTCATTTTTACATATAATTGCCAAAAGATTTACTTAATGTCTATGTAGGACAGGTTGTAAATATATTGTTGAATAAAAAAAAATGATGGCGCTGAATTAGTGGTTAGAGCTATAAATTTTTTTACAGAGGTCTCAGGTTCGATACACGCCACTGTCATCAAGATTTCAAGCAGCAGTGACATCGGTTTCCACTTGGAATCATATCTAGCAATATGTTTCCAAGTCAAAATAGACTCTACCCGATATTGCTGCATCAATAAACAATTCATCATAATTACAGTAATTTTATTAACAAAAACCATCATATAGAGATGGGCCATCTATTTAGATTGCCATCTATAAAACCAACATAGTTAAGTGAAAACTTTTAGTTCTAATCCATGTTCAATTATTAAATAATAAGTTGATGCAGTCTGCGATATTTATGAGCTACAAATACTGAAAAATACTTTTCCCCATTGAGATTATTTAGGTAACACAAATACCCACGACCTTATTTAAAGCTTTTCTTTAGTTTAGATGTTTAAAAAAAAAAGAAAAATGGAGGAGGATAGAAATGACAAAAGACAAAATATAAATTGATAGAAATTCACATAAAACTGTAATTTTTATATTGAATGATGATATCAATTATTGATGACGTTAACATAATCTTTTAGATTAGTTTCTTAATAAAAAGAAAGTTTCTAATAGTTAATTATCAAGGAAAGACTGATTTGTAGATGCAGTTAAAAGACAGACGTTTGCCAAAATTCCAAACAATTTCACTGTTTTCGTAGGATAAAAATAATCAAAGAAGTATTATTATTTTACTTTACTTCATTACTTTGATTAATAATAACAGACGATATTGGTAAATTAAAATGATATATTATAATACAGATTTTTTTGTTTACCAGCTCTCATATTAATATCTTATTTTCAAGTGTACAAGAACAGATAAATGTATGTGTGCCCTTTCGGTCAACTAAGAAAGTCGTTTTTTTATTACATTGGCATTTTGTGAAAATACTGGAAAATTCTTACCTTCATAACACAAGAGACATCTTCATAAATGCTGCTCTATATTTGATAGGAGAAAAAAATCAATTCTTTGATAATTGTAATTTAAAAA